GCATGCGAGTTCACAGATGTTGCTATAAAAATAATAAAATGAATCTGTGTGCCCATGAAATGACCACAAAATACATGTTATTCATGCAGATTCAGGGGTTATTTAAATAAATTGGCAGTTGCGTAACCAATTTTGGAAGCTTTATACCTATGCGTGCTTTGGAGTGGACGTCAAACCTAAAATATTGTTGACCTTTCCAATTTCTTCTCCCCAGCTTCTCACATGGACCGTTGCTCGATCGACAGAGTAGCGCTGTGATCCACTGGTCTATTGCCTGAGAAGGTCATTTTACGGCTTCTCTTTATTCCGCATTGCTCGGCAGACTTCTGACAGCTGCAGTTATGAAAAACATAAATGCCAACAAAACTTATGTGTAGGCTGTAGTCGGCAGCACTAGGCTAGCTTAGTTTCGGCTGATTACTGTACATTCTATATACACTGTACTTTAGCCTCCTAAATGCAACCGCCGAGCTGCACTACTCTCAAATCTAGCGACGGGGATCTTGAAGGGACAGTGGATACACTAGCGTTAGTCTCTCCTCGCTTCGCTACAGTACACTCTAGCCGCGCTCACGCGACCATGCTGCACTACTCTCGAACTAAGCGATGGAAATATTTTAGAGGGGCCTGCTAGCGCTATAGTTGCTAGCCTCGCCTTTTCTCACTGGGGTACAAGCCCCGCTCACGTAAAAGTGTGTTTAAAGTGCGATGTTATCGAAGCGTTGGGAACCGTCACATGCATCGGAGCGCATTGGCAGAGTTTAGATATACGTTGGCTGTGGCAGTGCGTCCACTTATGATCTGTTTTTGCCGATATAACAAAGTGTATGCTTGCATCAACCCTATGTAGAACTATAATCGCACCTTATCAGCAGCTAAAAATATCAACGAAAAAAAAAAACTAGCGCACTATGCACATGCTGTCGTTAATATGGCCACACCAAGTGCTTCTTGTTTTCTTCCATATGAAGAGTTCATTTAAGCAAAATGTTTACTTGACAAACATGAAAGGGCATTTTTAGGCACTGAAAAAGCTCATATAGGCATGAACCTCAAAATAGGCACTGATAGGCACAATAAATATGTGATTAAAATGTTTCCCATTCCTTAGTTCGTGTTTATATGTGAAATAGGGTCAAAACAGTCTCTAGTAAAAAAAAATAAGCATTTTGCCTAAAGTTGCGGTCTTCAGTGATAAACCCTTGTGAGCACGCCCTCTACCGCATGGTAGTTGTGAATGCGAAATGCGTCGTATCACATGCGCGAGACACGTTTGCCATGAGACACAAACAACTTTACAAGGGTGTTAGCACCTCCACAAGCCCTGGCTCTAAAACAGCCATATATCATTTCCGAGCGGGCAGAGTTTCTAAGCCAGCGTTTACCTAGTTTGGGCCCATCCCCTCGATAGGCCAATCATTAACTTGACTTGTGAGTTGGAGTTGCACTATTCGCTATGCATGCGTCAGTATTCCAGGACTAGTGGAATCCTGACTGCCACATGGAGTGGATAAAGAGTGGGCCCCAACACTGTTATTTAATCTGGCATACCAAAAAGTATCAGTGTATATACTGACATCAAAACCATGTAAATACTTGTACCTAAAGCATTTTCTTCCATCGACAAGTCTTGCTGATTGTTCTGAGCATGATGAGCACTCATGTTTGCACCAGCCACGTGACGCTTCATCCAACCGTTCATGAGCACGTTGCCAGTAAAAAGTGTTAGTTACAGTTACTTAAGCCTGAAAAGCAACTATAACAGTTACAGGTTCCAAAAGTAACCCATTGCAGTTCCAAGGTTACGATGTGGCAATAGCTTGGTAACCAAGCTGTTGCTACGTTATGCCTGAAGAATGCCATGGCCAAATCTTGCCAATACTACTTCTGAAGCAATGTTGTACATGTTCCTCTAAAACAGCAATGAAAGCTCCTTTTTCCTTCCTTCCCAGATTTGATACGAGTTTCCAATACAAGTTACTCTAATGGAAAAGGAACTCGTTACAGTTACATTTAAAAAATTAGAACATATTTCTACGTCTTTCTCTCTGTATACTACTTCACCCTTCCTCACTGTATCTTCCCTTTCTGGCTCCCTTGCTATGTGCAATACTGCATGAGGCTCTGCTGTGCTAGCAGAACATTACTGTTGCAAAAATAAAATAAACGTTCCTCTCGCACTGGCTTGGTCCTGGTGGCGTCTCACACTTCCCTGGGCCCCTAGCGGACGCCTTGAAGTGAAAACCAGGAAGCACTATAGTCGTGTCTCGATGCACCATAGTCATTTTTTAAGCTAGCCTCGGTCACCCATGCGCCACGTTGTCTGCACGTGCCACTTACATGCACCTGTTCAGTGCCATGGAATGTTTACAGAAGTAACGTAGTTCTCTCTGCTGCTTCTTCGTAAACCTAAAGAGTCACCATTACAGTTCCACTGATACAGAATGGAACAGTGGCATTCCTTCATTCCCCCATAAAGGAACTAGTTCCTGAAATGTCATTCTGTACAACACTGTTCTGAAGCATTTGAGCAGGAAAAATGTAGCCGTGATGCCTTATGTGCACAAGTTTTCGCACAACTTTAAAAAGACTGCCCAGCAGTACAAGGTAAACGTTGTAATCTCCGCGCCAAGTAGACGGGTTATAAACTCTGCAGAATGACTGACCTGGAGGCACAGACTGCGGCACAAAGCAAAGGCGGCCCTTTGTTGATTGTGCAGGAGTAGTTTCTTTAAAATTTCTTTAAAGTGTGGAAAAAACGTACATTGGTCAAACTAGATGTGTTAATGATAGGCTAAGGGAGCCTGCAAACAATGTAAGAAATATGCCTCATGGAAAATATTTTGAACATGTCTTAGCTAGTCATTGTATAACCTGCCAGGATTATGCTCCCGACCTAAACAACACTTCCGTCATTAAGAGGAGCAAAATACGGATCACCCATGACATTATCAAAGCATCACATAATGCATGTCTAGGGAAGGGTTGTGTAAGTGTGGCTTCTAAACAACGTAATTATTAGTGATAACTAATGGACATTGCGGTAATGTGAGAGAAAGTATAGGGGATAGTATTAGAAGTAATATCAACATGAATAAAGAAAAAGAGAAAAAATTGGCCCTGTATCTGCATGTTTCACTGCAAATGTCGTCGAAAGATGATAGTCGTGCGTCTGGAGAGAGTGAACAAAACATTTATTTGATGTTCTGCATGAGAAAATCGGTGAATGACATGCTGAAGGCGCTGCGTTAGAGTGCGTTGATGTGTGCCACGGAGGTGAACGAGCTCATCGAAACACGTGAGACATCAGTGTTATCTGGCAGTTATATCGGAAAACGAAGCACGTGGCGTGGACGCCTGTCTCGGAGGCAATAAGGTGTAGAATACAAGGAGACTGGTAGGTGCCATCATCGTGTTGTGTTAGCAAAGCATTGGAAACACTTGCCTTTTCATGAATAGTGTTGCATTGTCAGGACAGCGTGATAAACACTACAGTCCTTACAATTACTTATGTATGCCCTCTCTAGTATAAAGACACATGTGGAATATTGACGTGTTGTTATTGTGCCTCCGATAAGTGCGATATTTGCTCTTTAATCAACAATTGTACAAGTATGAATGCCGAAACTTGTGCAATATTGGTGGTCACTACGAATGGGGTTGGATTTTGGCCATTTCAAGTATTATTTCGGGGTACAAAAAGACAAGTCCATTGACAGACAGACAGAACAAAATTTTTGCGTTGAAGGTCCCCTAGAAAAACTATCATTTTTAAAAGATAACTAGCCACTGGCAGGATTCGAATGTGCGACCTTCGAATAATGCGTCCGGTGCTCTATCACTGAGCTACAATGGCAGTCATCTCTCCGTACACTTTATGCAATAAATATATGTGCATTTAAACATGGGAGCGTCAGTTATCATCACCTGTTGCCATCACGGTGAATGTGCAACACTCTTTCTTGCCTTTGTTGATGGGAACTGCTCCTATCTTCTGGTCACTGGGCAGGGAAGCTTGTGCCAGAGATTTCTGAAAGTATTTTTCAAAAGCAAGCTACATATAGGACTTGTGCAAATTTCACATAAGTCATTCATTGGAATGCCAGAGGACTAGCACCGTGTCTTTTGGACTTTCGTCAGTTAGTGTGCATCAACATGTTCCTAGTCATAATCATTTGTGAGCCCAATGCGTGTGCGTGCTCTCCTCTTTCTCTCTTTCTACATCTTTCAAACTCCTTTATTTCTGTCCCCATTGTAGGGTACCATACCAGTCGTTCTAGACTGGCTAACATCCCTGCCTCTTCATTTCCTCCTCTTCTCTTTAAATAAGTAATTTATCAAACTGTCAGGTCCTCTCCCCCCCCCCCCCCCCCACTTACCAGTATTTAGTTTTAAGAGCAACAATCTTCTCACACGTGTACTCCTATGACACGTGTGCGTCATCCATGTCACCTGCTAAGGCTATCTGATCTCATGGTGTATGCTGGTAGACAGAAACAAAATACTGGTCAAAATATTCTGCCTTATGGACCACGGTGTTGTTTGCTGATCTTTTGAGTATTTGTTGTGCCAAAATAGCTGGGTTTTTGATGAATCTGCTCTCCTCCTCTTTTTTGTCACGCCTTTCTTATGAGCGAAGGTGAAGTAGGAGCCTGCATGCTTAATTGCAGTCTTCTTTTGCTCTTTCACCGTAAATGTTTTTGTTTTTGGTGAAAATAAAGTTTTTTGATTGATTGATAGATTAGTACCTATGTATGTGAGCCAGTTCTGTACAGCTACTTCATGCGCAGTATACTTGGCATATAATATCAGCCATACTAGTTCTTCATGTACTTTCTGCAGGACTGAATTATTACTGGCTGATTGGTCGGAGTTCTATGTGGTGTTTATGCTGTTTAGGTTTTTCTTTGCTCATTATTCATTGTTTGAAACGGCCTGACTCCTCTCATACATGCCGCCAGGTCATCATCTTGGTATATTTCTCTTCTCCAATGATGCAGGAAAGTTTGGGGTGTGAAGGTGTCTGCACCGCTGCACAAGACACTGGAATTCCGGTATTTTATAGGCATCTTGTTGGAGAACAGCAACGTGATTGTGCGCAGATGGGAAACGGTCCGACAACCACGTACAGTCAGCGCCAATGAACTGACTATGGATCGAAATGCTGCCGTTGACATGTTTGGCAACTATGGTATGCATCGCAATGACCTGCGAGTTCTCACAATTCTTTAACCTTTAATACTAATGGGGGAACTTGTTGACTAGTGGTGAAAATGAGTGGAGGCATTGCTAAATCTGACACTTTCATTCAGTGATGAACAACATGTGAGATTGTGGAGAGGCAGTTTGTACTATTAAAATTCCTGCTGAAAAATCCTGAGTTCACAATACTGAATATGAGGGTTTGATGCCCCTTCAGTCGTTGCACTGGGAAAGGAGCTGACTATGTGAGGAGCTGACAGTAATGGGTGCCCTTGGGTTGTGATATTGCCCTTTTCTGAATGTTCAGGATAAACACTAATCGAATAACTGCAAGGATGTACACCTGTGCTTTTTTCACCTGTCTCGCAAGTTAAAATAGGTGCAAGCACAATGGTATCTTAGGGCTATGGCATTGCATTGCTGCTCATGAAGCTGTGGGTTTCAACGTGGCTTTGGCAGAAGTGATGTTGAATTGCCTAAATAAAAGGCTTCCTACTAATGTGTGTTGAGTAAGACCGGATGGCCAGAATAAATGTAGAGTTCCTTAGCACGACTTGTTTCAAGTTGTATTGTGGGTTGGGCATGTCAAGCCTCAGTTGTATGTATATATGTTATTTATTCTGGGTGAACCCTCTCCAACAGTCTTTAATTGGGGGAAGGTTTACCACAGCAGTGGTAAGTCTACACTTCAAGGCTCGCCTTTTGATATAAGAAGCCTGCTAGAAAAGTATCCGACCTTATTTTTGAAACAAGTGTGCTTGCATCAGCCGACCTTGAACCTTCGTGTGCTTGCGTGAATTTTTTTCCCGGCTGCCTAAGCGTCAGTCGCTGAGATGCAGCATGTGATTGAGGTAGTGCGCAGTGCTCTCGTTCTTTTTTCATTGCAAAGAAAATGACTGAGCGACTGGGGCAGCGTTAATGCATCAAATTTTGCCAAAAACATGGCGACATCCAAGTGGAAATCATTCGGAAGATCGCGATGGCTTTTTGTGACGACGCTATGAGCCACACACAGATTAAAAAGTGATACAACCGGTTTAAAGGTGGCTGCACATAGGCGGAGAGCGAGCCTCGCTTCGGTCTGCCGACATGCCGAAATGACCAGGCCATAGCCGAAGTGAATGCTGTGGTGATGCGGGACTGCCGTGTGACTCTCCGGGAAATTATGGAAGAGGTGGGCTTGAGCATTTTCTCTGCACATTACTCCAGTACAGGGATGTCCTTCATCATCTACGTGATGCTGTGCGGCGCAAGAGACCTGAGTTGTGGTGAACAGGAAACTGGCGCATCCATCACGACAATACTTTTGCACATTCCTCACAGTTGGTTCGAACTTTTTTTGGCAAACGTCAGACTTCCATAGTTCAACAGGCTTCTTACTCTCCTGATATGGCCCCCTGCCATTTCTGGCTGTTTCCCCAACTCAAAAGGACATTGAAGGGAGAACGATTTCAGACAAGGGATGACATTACAGCTGCAACGACAGCGGAGCTAAACTTCATTTCGAAAAAGGCCTTCTCAGAATGCTTTCGACAATAGCAGCACCACTGGGAGAAGTGTGTGGAGTCCCAAGGGGACCACTGTGAGGGGGATTAGGTTTCCAACGCTGCAATTATGCCATTTTTTTTCTTCCATGAAAGGTTGGGTACTTTTCTAACAGACTTCATACAATGGAGCACTATGTTTGGGATGTCTGTACCTGTTAGAATTTGTTCCTAGCTGTTAGTATACATGTATTTGAACTTAGTACTTAATTGGAGTACATAAGTGAAGAATTGGTGCTTAAATGGGACAATCGCCTTCAATATGGAACTGCATCTCGGAGCAAAAATTCAGAATGTTTTTTTTCTTCCTTTGCATTACCTTCAGTGAAATTCTATTGTATAGTCTGCATACGAAATGGATGTTGATGGCAAGATGAGCTAGTTCAAAATCAAAGTGCTGTCCGCTGTTTTTGTCCCTGTGGAACTTCGAGGTCTGTTCAACAAGAACATGTTTTAAGGCCATACGCACATACACAAGTGATTGTGCATCTTGTTTTTAATTTTTGTGCACTTAAACACTGTATTTTGCAAATGTCTTTGTAATCTTGCAAGAGCAGCAAAATTTATTTGTTTTGAATGTCGTAAATTGTATGAGTAGAACAGCTATCATTAATAATGCTTAGCATTGTACATATATTAAACTTGATGTACTACTTTGTATTTATGTGTAGTTTTCTCTACTGTGTTCTGTTCTGATGATATGAATATTGTTTGGTATGAAAGAGAGAAAAAAAGGTAGGGAGGATGAAAAGTGGATACCTTATGTCCTGAGCTAGCTCATGTTGCTAGCATACTATGTAGTACTTGTAGAATTCTTGTTATCAAAGCTTGAAATGTACAAAAGTAAATAGCATCTTCTCACTTTTGTAGATTGCATAATGAAAAACTTATGCACTTCCATAAGTCAATGCTATCCCTTTGAACACTTTCCCACCCAAAAAATACTTGCAAGAATCAAGGCAGTTATACTGTCTGCAGTTTCTTGTCATGTTTCTTACCTGTGGCAAGCCTGTGGCATTGGTTCGAAGAACTTGAACGAGTTTTTCTTATGTTCAATATTTGTTCAATGTCGAGGTAGGCTGCGTGTGAAGTTGTAGATTGTTCATGCAGACTGTGTGTACACCCTCTTCTTTCAGATGGTGAGGACAAGGTGGAGCCTGGGTGGTTGACAACGGAGTCCATAGTTCATCTCAAGATGTTTGACAATCCCATTGTGCTGTGGAAGCGAAAATACAAGTCTGTCCCTATCTCTTACCACATCACCCCAATTGACCTCTCGGTTCGTAACAGTGACGTAAGTGTCTGCACTGTGCATGAGTGTCACACGGCGCCTGTAATGTCACACGGTACCTGTAATGTCATTCGTTGCGAAAAACATTAGGTGTTAATGTCATTTTTGTTACTGCTACACAGGCATAGCGAGTGAAATTCACACCTGATGGCATTAGTCCGTGGAATGTGTTCACTGAACTCATGCAAACGTGATATGTGTAATCTCAACTGGTACTTCACAAAAAATTACAAGATTGATATCTTAAGGTAAGCGTAAATGATATTCAGACGTTTACGGAAGGTTAACTTTCCGGTAACTTTTGAATGTACAGGACAGTAGTGCGAGTAATTTGTGGAGCTATATTCTCTTTCCCAGACTCTAACTTGATGCTAGCACCTCCTCTTGGCCATGTTTAAAAATGCTCACTGCTGTTTTAGTGCAGTGCCACAGCGTTGGACTTGCTAGTAACAGAATAAACATGCATGGGCTGGACATCAGGTTAGAGTGTTGTCAAACCAAGTTTCCATTCCTGGGAAGCACCACAGTTCCCTTTTAATCGCCGACAAAGTCTAAACCCAAAGAGCAGCTGATGTAAAAGTAAAAGCTCCCATTTGTACACTGTGGGTGTACAAATGGGAGCCAGCCAAATAAATGTGCTATATATCTGACAAAACATGGGAGAGGCCTTTGTCCTGCAGTGGACGTAGTCAGGCTGATGATGATGATGCTATCTTTTGAATTTGGGTTTCTTTACAGTGTTACAAACATCATGTCAAGCTTTCTGTTTCCGAATATGTCTTGCTTGTTGGTTGCGGCACTGTGCATTCAAAGCCTTCTGGTGAATGGACGCAAGGGGAAGGAACGTATCATTGTAGCAAGAGTGGTGGTGGAAGACGCATTGGGTGTGACCCTGCCTCCCCTCTGGATGAAGATGAAATTTTGTAGATGATGTATGTGTGTGTCCACACGAGTCTGTTGCACAGGTTATCTTGCCCTTAAAATTTTTCTGAGTACTCTTTTTTATAATAAAAAGGCAGACTGAAAAAGTAATGCAATGTAAGACAAAAACTAGTGTATCAGAGCCATGTGTCTTCAAGTGGGTACTTTGCAAAGTTTGATTGTGTTTGTTTCTGAAAGTTCATTGTGTGCTGAAGCTGGAGCTACAACATAAAAACTGCTGATTCACTTCACTGCTTGGTGTTATGAGTGTGGAAGCTACTTGAGACATATTATTTTGTAGATAGTGCTAACGGAAATGCTTGAAACTTTTTTCCAAATGTCTATGGCTAAGGAATAATGTGAGATCACGTTATTGAACACTTGTACATATTTCCTAATTTTGCAGAAAGTGCACTTCAGTCATTCCTGTTGCACTGGTGAATCTGTTTAACCTTTCATACATCACCCATGTAGAGGTTCTTTGCACGTGTCCATGCCAGAGTTGAGATGCATATTGCTCAGCAAAGACATGAATTTTGTTGACTATGGCAAAGAACCAGCATTGGTGAACCACATATGCTCTGCTAGCTTTGACAAGGAAAGCAATGCACATATGCTGGTAGCTATCCCATGTCTTAGCACAAGGTTTTACTTTGGTTGAAGAAGCCAGCGCAGAGGAATTTACCAAGATTTATTATTTTTTGGTGTTTATTATTGATTGAAGTGCCAATTATGGTCTCAGCTTCCTATGTTGGTTGGGACCTTGAGCACTGGCTGACATTGTTTCATTTTGTCCACAAAGGCAGGGCCAATATGTGACGAGAGTGACCAGCACAGCAACACCTCTGACTTCGAGTGCGTCAAGTGGCCAGTTATTGAAATAGCGGTGAGTGGTCAGCTGTTTTTTTTTTTTACAGTGGCTAAGCTCATGCATATCTTTTTTTAGTAGCACAGTGAATTGTTCAACATCACAAATGAAATCAATGGTTTGCCTACCTTACATCATTTTTTAAAATTTTCTATGTTATGCTTTGCTTTAGGAGTAATTTGGAACTCGGGATATCTAGCATTAAAAGAGGACATGTGTCCAAAATAATATGACCATGACATTAGCTTGTATAGCTCCTTGTTTGGAGTTGGTTAGTAGTTTGATGTGCACTTTGACTCAATGTTACTGCATTTCTCAAGTTTCTGCATTTAGACTTCTTTAAATGCTCTTAAAGCACACAAAAAGCTCACTGCCAATATTCTGGGAGTGTGCTTGTCATTATATTTATGTGAAGTCATCCAAATCGTATTTATCCTGGAAATGCGAATGAAAAGGAGCAGAAGATATGTACATGTCTGTGCCGATCAAGACTAATAACGTGAGAGAGAGCTGGCACTGGAAACATATTTGGATTGATAACATGTAACGAATGTAACTCATATATATTAATTCAGTCACTTGCAATGTTATCTAATGCGTACCTGCCAAGTCTCCCAAATTTCCTGGAAGACTCCCGGACTTTGAACATTTCTTGTGTTTGTACAGTTGGCAGGAAAATATCCCAGAAGTCAAAATTTGTGTGCGTGATCTGGTGTCATTGACAAGAATCTAGCCCGTTTTAACCCAGGCATTTTGCAAACCCGTCACATAAACTATAGACATAAATCAAATTAGGAGGCATTGCTGTAAACGTACTGTAAAGTTTCAATTATTATAAAAAATATTTTACAATATCTGAGTTATACGAAACTGGCTGACACTAATTCATGGAATACCCCAGGTGAATTCCACTGTGTCCTGTGGACCAAATTTTGGATGTATTGAACACTTTCCACATAGTGGCAGGTGGTATGCGAACCCGAAATGGTGAAGTGACTGCCAAGAGTTGCTTTCTGGAAGCTTGGGAAGCATGGGCGTGGCCAGTACGCACTGTCCGTACTATGGTTATGGTTTGCCCCCAACTGCTGCAGACAAAACTGTGGTCACTCTTGACATGATCTTGTATGGCGACGACGGAACTCCGAAAGTGCTTGCGCGTCCAATGCTTGCCAAGTTAAAGTAATCAACACTGCTCTCTGTAAATACTGTGGACAAAATGGTGGTTGATGTGACCATGGCAACGAACAACATAGGTTTGAAGGCATGTGTGCAGCTGGCTAACGCAGTTTGAAAACGGAACTACATGATGTTTGTCGCAACTGTCTCGCAAGAAACCGTGATTGCTGCGACGTGACCATTCATAGCAATTATGAGCATCGAAAGTATGTGGCAGCGGTAGATTATAGGCAATAGAGTTGTAAAAAAGGCACGAGGCATTTCAACATTGCTATCAATCTATGCTTGGTGAACCGGACTTTAGCCACTTAGTTTTCAGCTGGCCTCAAGTGAAGCTCTCAAGCCAGCTGTGCCATCCCCTGTTGATCGATTCACGTGTGGCCCAGGAAGGCATATGCGAGTTCTTTCAATGAAAAGAAATGTTTTTTGCAGATAGCATGGTTTGAAAGCCGATTTTGCTAGTTTTTTTAATATGAAATTTCAGCGATGCGAATATTTTTGCTTTCCCTTGAGACTTGTATAACAGAGATTCTTGTATAACCGAGGTTGGGAAACCCTACCTGCCTTGGTTGTTTGGCCGCTCAGTCTTTATAAAACTTGAATGTTGATGTTTACACTTAGGGGCTGTTCGGCTCTTTCCTTTCCTCGCTCCACCACTTCTGACATGTATTTGTGTAATGAAAAAAAGGGGGTGGGGGACTGTAAGGTAAACCGGTGTGCCAAACTCCTTCCCTTCCCTTCAGAATTCTCCCGGATTCAGATTCCTTGAACTTGAAAGATATGCTCATGACATGATCGGAGTTGGCATGGAAAATCCTAGAGCTTAATTTGTTCATGTCCTGATGAGGGACAATTTAAATAGTGGCCAACCTGTGGACTGCAATTGAAGTGACAGTTACTGCATTTTCTTGTTGAATTCTAAGACTGTTTGCTACAAGATTTGCATAAGAAAAGCACGAGGTGGTTCATTTATGTACTCACCTTCATTTGACTTGCATACACCTGTACAAAGAAAAAGTAAGAGAACTGACTGTTAAGTTTCCTTTTGTTCCAATTGCATGTTGACTGTCATACTCAAAAGAATTACATCCTGTCTACAATGCATTTAATACAATTAAAGGGATACTGACACCTTTTTTCGAAGGCAAGTTTACTCTGCGATACAAATGTCATCTATACATACACTGCTCTGAGCAAGTGTGACACTCGGCAAACATCAATAAGATATATTACAGTCAAACATGATTATATCGAACCCACATATATCGAATTTTCGGGTTTATCGAACTTGCAAGTTATCCCCTTGAAATTCCTTTGTGAAAGTATAGATTTTCATACATTTATATCGAACAATATTTCTTACCCAACTTCGGATATATCGAACGCCGCGTGAGCTGGAAGGTGCACTTCGGCACTCGCACCCGCCCCTCCCGCGATCTCCGCTGTAGCGCGGCTTCGCTCGAGAGTTGGAAGGAGCGCTTTGGCACTCGCAGCACCCGGCGACCTCCGCGCAGCACTGGTGGCACCAGGCTTCCGCCAAAACCCGAAACGCTCGAAAAAAGGTAAGGGCGAGAGGGCTCGGAGTGCACAACTTGTGGAACTTTTTTTTTTCGTTTTTAATTCTCTTATGCTGTCTCCGCGTACCCATCGGCTCAGAGAGCAGGAACGAAGGAGCCGACATCCTCTTGCTTTCTCCGTTTATTTTTTGTTGCTGTTTTGCGAGTTTTGATCAGCCAACCGCAGCTCGCGCCTTTCTCTGTTGCCCGCACAGGCGGCCATCGCCTCCCGCGCGCTATCTTGCTTCCGTTGTTGCATCGCCTATATACCACTACATGTGCAACATTTCTCTTTTGCGTGCATGATGTGCAACGCTGCTGCGAACTCCTGGAGTTGTCGGCTTCTCGTTTAGCTATGGCCAGCGTCAAGAAGTGCAACACCCTTGACTTTTTGACAAAATTGAAGGCTATTCAGTGTGCTAAGGCGGGCGAGAAGTGTTCGACCGTCACGGACGACATTGGGATACCACAGAGCACTTTGAGTACCTTGTTGAACAACAAAGCAGATATCAAGGCAAAAGTGGCGGAGCAGTGAACGTCAGGAGCTTGTCGTGTGTGCAGTTCTGCCCACGGGAGTGTAGAAAAAGCACTCTATGCCTGGTTTTTAAAAGTGCGCGCAAAGAACATTCTAGTGAATAGCCCAATGCCGATCGTCAAGGCCAAATGGTTTGCCGCTGCACTCAGTGAAACAACTTCGCCGACAACAGCGAGTGGCTTCACCGATTTAAGCAGTGCTACAACATTGTCGGCAAAACCAATTCTGGCAAAAGCAAATCTGTCAGCGGCCAGGGCATCCAGCAGTGGATGACGAAAAAGTGGCCGGAAATCTCTGCAAAGTTTTCTCCTGCAGAGTGCTTTAATGCCTGGCGAGATGTGAAAACGGGCACAGGGGTCAACTGCTTCCTAAAGGCAGGCTTCGAGACCGCGGAACTTGCGAAAACTGGTGAAGACGACGACGTTGACAAGCGCATAGAAGACACCTTTTGCGTGTTGTCATCCCGCTTCCCGGCAGCAGTTCCACACGAAGTGTCTGCGGGCGATTTCGTGGAAGCAGACTGCAATGTCCAGGCTGTTGCGAGACTCGAAGACATAGTAGCTGCGGTCGCAGGGACCCAGGATGCCCAGGCCGCCAGCTCATGTGACGGGGAAGATCGTCTGGACGGGGCGCTGGCTACACGCGTGTACTCCGCTGCTGATGTGGCGGCAGCGTTCGGCATCATTCGCTGACGTATCGGCCACATGGAGGTAACCTGGCTTTCACACCTGGACAGCCTTGTTAAGATCGACTAGCATCTCGAAAATGAAAAAAAAAAAAAAAAGGCCAAGATTAGTTATTTTTTTTCTCGCAAATAAATCATTCTGTTGCGGCGTGTGTTGTGAAATCGGCTGTAATTCTTTAATGCGCCTATTGCAGGTGATAATCCGCTACAGGTAAGCTATTGGGGCCTTCATTTTTTTATATAGAATTTTTCATATATCCAACTAATTCGCGATCTCCCTCGTGTTCGATATATCCGTGTTCGACTGTGTTTCGATATTAAGGTCAATTTTCTTGCGGCGCACCTACCAACATCGACACTAACTTGACCTCAGGCTACAGCACTAATTTCGGTGACTTCACCCAACAGTCTGGCTAGCTGTGATGACGCCAAGAATCAAAATTAAAAAAAAAAGGCAGCCTGTGTGTCGCCTTCTCTATTGTTTTCTCGCGCCATGTGGTCACTGCCGTCCAGCGTACCTGTGAAGTGAGTAAGCGGAGTCTGGACTAGTGTACGTGCAGTCTAATACAAGATATACGCTTATCGGAGGGCAAAAAAATTTTTTCGAAGATGCGACCTGAATGCGCCACGAAAACTTGTGCGGGCACATACTACCTACCGCCTTGTAGCTTTGCTCATACCATTTTGTGACGTTGGGGTACAGTAGGAACCAAAACTAGCTTTTAAAAGCATGCTGTAATTAATTTTTCAGGGCACACTCATGCTTACTGGTACATTTCCTATGCTCTCGGGGACTTGACCTATCGATGAGTGAGAAATCTTGTGTCGGTACTTCTTAAGGTGAAGCTTTTATAACTAAAATTTTAGTGACAGTGTCGTATGCAATAAACCCAGCACCAGCGAGCACACAGAAGTATGGTCCTCAAGAGTGCGCTGGTCACATGTTTATTTGTGTGTGCCATTTTTTAATACATAATCGATACTGTCTCAATTGAGGGCTCATCAGAGATCAGCCAGTTCTCTTATGGCAGTCTGACCTTTTATCGAGGTGACTTGTGATCTCAGGTTGTCACATTTCATTGTCTGGATAGTAACGCTGGCTGTCATTGCTGCCTGTAGCTAGTCAATTGTTGTGCTGCTAAGCACATTGGATGAAGGTTAGATTCTTGGCATAGAGGACGAAAACTGGAGGGAGCCATTTGCTGTACAATAAAAGTAGTTTGTCAAGCACGCAGATGCGCGCCGCTGCAGTGGTCTAGTGGCTAAGGTACTCGTCTGCTGACCCACAGGTCGTGGGATCGAATTCCGGCTGTGGCAGCTGCATTTTTGAAAGAGGTGAAAATGCTGTAGGCCTGTGTGCTCAGATTTGGGTGCACGTAAAGAACCCCAGGCGGTCGGAATTTCCAAAACGCTCCACTACGGCGTCTATCATAATCATATGGTGGTTTCGGGACCTTAAACCGTTTTATATCATCGTCAAGCACGCAGATGCAAAAAGCTTTGCTTGCTCCTGTTTTACTGCTGGGGAAGGCCTTCCGACGACTTCTTCCGTCAGCTATTCCTTATTACTTGACTGTGTGTTTCAGTGCAACATTAAAATTTGTCTTTTTGCGGGCAGCTAGTCTTCTCACTGTGCACTTTTGTTTGCAGGTTATGAAAGAACAAGAATACGAATTCAAAAAACAAAATCAGTTTGGAAATGTGTATGCACCGGAGGACTTTGTCATTTTCCAGGCACAGGTTATGGACTCTTCTAGCATCGTGAGTTCCACCTTGTTCTGTCATCCTGTCGCAATGAGTGCATGTGCGCAAGTGTCCCAAGTATTAGAGCACCTTTGTTTTTGCACCATTTAATCTTTTTTATTTCTCTCTTTTTTTTTGCAATCAACAAAAAATTGCAAGGCAGTTCACATTTTGTGGCTTCATCAGTATTGTTTCCGAGGGTTCGTCAATGCTTCAAAACAGTAAGAAACCTACACAGCACTACATAAAACTGTTTTAAGTAGAAGGCGTCGTCTAAATTTGCAATTAGAGGCAGCAATCACTATGTTGTGAAATGTCCAGGAGGCTAGACAGCTTGATTGTGGGTTGTCTGGCACTCTCTTCAAAAGGCAAGTGGAATGAGATGTGGCCCTCGGAGATTTGAAAGCACTTGCCCACTGGTTTGTTTGCTGTAAATATGATGGGCTGCCACCTCTTGGAGCTTGACAGACCTGACTACTTATCACTGGGCTGGAGTAGCAGCTTAGTCATAGGCACGCCCTATTAATAGGTATATGTTGTGCCTTTAGATAGAGCTGCAAAGACAGTAAGGACAGTTGAACACAGCACATTTTGATGCACTCACCTTGGTTGCATGCAAGTGGAAGAATGGCTAGAGAGAGAGAATGCTTGACTGCTGATTGCGCTCTTGTCTCCCCGCCCTGAACCCAGCTTTCTGTCTCTTGCTCCTCGTTCTTTGTCTCCTTTCATTTGGTGCGTGGGGGCTCTTCTCCAGTGACATTCCAGCAAGCACACACGGTTGATTTTGACACTGGGCTTTCCGGTCTGTTGTTTCAGGCTGTATTAGACGAGGTACGGGCTGAGAGGTAAGTCGGCCCGCCCTCACTCTGCTGCATCGAACAAGTCGCTCAGTCGTCGTTGCCGGCTTCGCCCCTACCAACATGTCCCTCCCCCGATGAAGTTCCTCTGCTGCCTCTGTTGCTGTCGTCAAGTTGTCGAAGGAGAGTCTTTGGCTTGGCGACGACCAATGGCAACAGTGTTGGCGGTTGCCTGGCTGGGCAGCACTGCAGGTTGCATCGTTGACTGCCCCGGTCCGTCATTGCCTGCTTACCCCACCAACCCTGCCAGCCTCACCATCACTCTTTCCTTCCCCCGTTTTTGCCCTTGTCCCCTCCCTCATTTTTTTTCTGGGTCATTTTGCCACCGGTGCCCATAGTCACGATCGACAGCTTGGCGGTGGTGAATTTTCAACGACTTTAACTCAAGAACCAGTTCCAGGGACAGCGAAAATGGCAGCGGTCAACAACACCCGGCGGCTGTACGTTGTTCCGTGCAGTCAAGTGGACTTCACGGTTTATTTTGCCTTCCTTTGCTATCTACTTTGTATTCTCTTTTTTTTCCCCATTGTCTTCCCTCACCTGTCGACACATCTTGTTGGCTTCGTCCCGAGTTCGCTGCTCTATCAACGACTACCTGGCTGGTTTATGTCGGCGAACCAAGCATCCACACTGCAAGGGTTTCGCTCCCCTGTGTGTGCATGGTTGTATGAGTGTCATTGAATTAAAATAAGCGATTGAGCTGCCCTTAATGACCTGGATAGGGCTAGACAAGATTGTGGAGATGTCTCCAAGTAGTTAAAAAATAGAGGTTGAGAGGGGCTTGACCATTGAAGTTCTTGTTATGCAAGTTTAGCTGCTCAGTTCTGTGAGACTCTCAAACAGCTGTCGCTTATCAATCTATGTAAAAAAAAAAAGAAAATCCTGCACAGCCTTGAAAGGTGACCTTTATTTGGTCTGCATGTAATGTACAGCCATGGCCACGTCTGTGTAGAGCTCTCGAGCAGCCAGTTTTCGCTCTGTTGCCCGAAACCTTGAGGCAGTTTCGGGCTCTCAAGTGGTGTATCAGGAGCATGCACGGCCTAGTTGTCAGGCTGACCACGTCAGAGCCTGATACTGCACCAAGGTTTTGTCCCGCAGAGCAAAAACCGGCATTTCGCGTGCTCTACACAGACGTTGCTGCGGCTGTGCTGTGTGCTGAAAACATTGCTGGTAAAAACATACTGGCTCAGAATTCTGTTGGTGGCTTTTTTTTAATGCTGTCTCAAAAAATTACTTTTGTTGAGTGTGAAACGTTCATCTCCAATGCCTTATCATTGGTGCTTTAAAACCTTTGTACAGGGACACCTTGGATAAGCAAATAGCCACTTTTTTTTTTTGCTCTTTTTGATGAAAATGCACATAGGGCAAAGAAATTTCGCTTTCAGTCTCAAATGTCTGAAAAATTGCATTAGGGCTATCCTGTTACCGTGCCACATTTCTGAGTGTTTATGAACGTTTCAAGCCCCTTTTTTGTGCAGGGTATTGTGACCATGGCCTTTGTGGCTGCCCTCTGAAACTTCAGTTCTTTTTTTCCCATATAGCACGAAGTTCCTAGTGGCAGCTGTTGTGTGCATTCTTAACTAGAGTGACTAAAAAGTAAGTTGGCCGTTGAATAAGTACTAACTAGCCAGATAATGCAGCTGACCATAAAGCAACTGGGCCGGTAATCATAGACTCCATCTGAAGGGGTCCTGAACCTTCCATGGCATTTGGTGAGGAAACATATACAGAAGAAAGCAGATGCTGCTGTGAATAGCTCAGCCAAATCTTGCAGTCATGCATAGCAAAGTATTCACAAGTAGAACAGAAAGTTACGACTTTCTCATGGGCTTGTTTCTCTTCTAATATCGTGCTTGCAAAAGTTTGTTGCACATAGCGAGGAGGATTCCAGCCAATTAATTAAACAAGAACATGTCTTTGCGTTGCCCCCAAGCACCCTGTCGAGGTTCCGAGATTTGAAAAACAGAAGAATAAAAATGGGGTGCAACACTTTTGACAGGCATTCTCAAGTTTTGGGTGGTAGTTTACTATAATTTCTCTAAAGAAAGGTATATAACAGCTGCATGTTATGGTACACACTTATGCAGCAAAAGCTTGGAGGCTTGGAAAGAGCATTCGACGTAATTACAGTAAAACTTGCAGTAAAATTGCCGTTCGACTTAATTCAGGATGACGTAGCCAGCCATGGAAAGGAAAATGAGTGGTGTGACCTAAAGGGACAAGAATAGAGAAGAGTGGGCTAGAAATGAACGAGTTAAGGATACGAGAGTCGAAATGGAGAAGAAATGGGCATTGGCAGGGCAAGTAGCGCAAAGGTAAGATAACTGCTGCTAATTAAAGGAGCCCTGCAACACTTTCGCGAAATTTTGCCGATCAGTAGTCAAAGCTCCTGAGAGCATGAGAGTCAAACATTATAGTGCAGCACGCAGCCAGGAATTTACAATTGATTCTCAACATCAGCTTGCTCACTCTTCTCTCCACAAATGATGCCATATACCTAAAATGACCTAGAAACAGACTGGAACTTTTCATTATTGTAGTTGAGGGCTGGTGGCTGTCTAAGCTGTCCAGGCCGACGTCTGTGGTGTAATTGAGCCATTAAAACACTGCCAAATAATATTGAAGGTCTCAATTTTCATCTACGATATCAAGAAATCGGTCTCTTCTTGTTGCACTTGAAAGTAACCTGCTTAATTCATCATTTTAGCTTTGCTTAGCTCTTCCACATGACTGGCTTGCCCACCTTATTTTACAAATTCTTTGTACATATTAAGCAGTGATAGCATAATCTTGAATTGCTGTAAATTCTCTGCTCCTATTACGTGCGAGGCCAAGTCGTCGCAATGCCGCAAAAATGCTTTTGTGCGCAGAGTATTATAGAATGTTAGTTACATTGAAGAAGAGACGACCTAGAGACACTGAGTTATTGGCTTTTAGTATGTATTGGTGTTTATGAATTCGTAGCACATGTACTTAGAGGTATACATCATTTTATTTTCTGTTACTGTGGCGTGCTAGATGTCTTTGGCTGGCATGTATAAGCCTTTGTTGCTAAAATGACAGGCTTGCCGAACCTTGCCTGTTAATAGTGAGGGGATGATGCATGTATTTATTGGGACAGAAAGAAAAAACGCAGTTAAAACATGATCGTCTTTTTTTTTTCATTGGCAGGCATACAAGGTAGACTTCTACATGCATCGGAGTACCGATGAGGCGAGCATTCCTGAGAACATCGGTATCAGCTACATCTTGCCAGGGAACATGCAGGGGACCTTCGGGACATGCACTGTACCCATTACTGGCACCCGGCACCAGCCTGTTGGCCAACTAAATGGTGAGGCTCGTTCCTAGTGCTTGCATGTGTTCACAGACGCATTGTGAAGGCACCAATAATGACAGCCTCGTAGGAAACTCTGTAGGATACCTACATGGACCAGCTGCCTGCTTTTAGGCTCAGTAACATAGACATCAATTTTGTTAATGGAAGCAGCGCTAACTAACCCTCTGATTGATGCGCATACTCAAATAGCCAGAGAACTGGATGGGCAAATGGCTGCTGCAGTAGCGTACATCTGTTGAAGCATTCCATGTATGACATGGAAGATGCGAGTTCAGCTCTCGCCTATGGCTACCTATCTTTTTGCCAACTTTTATTTTTCTCAACCTGATTCTGTGCTTGTGAAAGTTTTTCGGATCACGTTATTCTTCTTCTTCATTGCATAGCGAAGGCCTTCAGTAAGGCAGTGAACTCCTTGGCTCACAAGTAACAAAGTGTTCGGAGGCTGCCAAGATGGCTGCATTCAGGCTAAAGTCTTGCAGCTGCAATGTGTGCACTACTCGAGAATGCACCTTGCCATTAAAAGTTAATTCTTTGTGGTGTGCATTAAGCAGGGGTGCTACAGCTGCGCCAATTGCGCCAATTTGATACAATTCCTGATTGTTGCACTGAGCTGCGCCAAAACCGTGAAATTTGTTTAAATTGTGAAACGCTGTGCCAAAATGCCCACCTAGCCTCAAAATTTTTTTTCAGGTGTGCTAATTTCGGCAAGAAATGCAGGCCACTTCGGCCACCTGCATCTTGTGCCATTTGTCAAAGCGTGCAGACCTGAAATAGTGCCTAGAATATACGTAAAATATTGTAGGCACCCGCTCCTACGCTCGCGGGACGCGATCGACCAGATGAAGTAACAATGCTGCACCTTGGTCTTTCCCTACAGCCTCACTGAAACTTCATTTTATCGATATAGCATGAAACAGGCTTTATGTTGTGGTTTAATATACATGGTGTTCTATATAAGTGTACATGTGAACAGCTAAATACATCGTTACACTGAGAATTTTGTTATGTGAAAGTGCATCATATTGAGATTTGACTAGCTGTATGCACTCTTGAATAGCATTGCTGACAAAAATTATGTCCCGCATATGTATACAGTAATACCTCGTTTACTCAAACTCGCATATTTAAAAAACTGGCGAGGTCAAAATTTTTCGCTGCACCAAACATTTTCCTAATATGTTCCATGTATATTTTTTCCTTTATCTCTAAGTATTTTTGGGTCGGATTGCGGATAACTCGAAATCTTGACTAGAAGTGTAATGAAAATTTCACTGCCGGACCATTTCGCAAGGTTTGTGCAATGCTGCCACACCTGAAGTTTGTCTGTTTTTTTTTCTTATTTAGCCACGCCTGTCACTGCGTTGATGCTTTCCGCAAATACGAAGTGCACGAAGTCTCCGCCCAGAGACATATCAAGTTTCTCCAGCAACCCTGTGGCGCATCATTGACACATGCGCTGAGCAAGAAGGCCCTCTGCCCACTCTTGGCGTAGTTTGTCTTGTTCGCTTTGAGCAGGGCTAATGATTTTCCCTGAGCTGTGATTTTCGTTCATTTGCGCAAACTGAACGGTATGGATTCTTTGCTGACTTCGAGGAGCCGCAACATTGCATGAGTATAGCAAGCATAGCAACAAATCAGTACAAGTCGCTAATGCTAGAAAAAGAGTTTGCCCTAATTAAATAAGTGGAGAAAAGAAGCCGAGCGAAATCTAGCATCGCGCAAGATTTTGGCACCTCTTTCTTTACACTTTCGACGGTGCTGAAAAACAAACAGAAGTTGCTCGATGGATTTCAGCAGAGACTGTGAACATCTTTGTCAAGATGGCATCAATCTTACAAATAACGGTGCGTGACTTTTCTGGAGTACGCGCTGTGGGAGCAGGATGTGGCGGTGACAGGAGAAATGACGGACACTAAAATTGTTCAAACGGCTGCTAACCTAAGGGACGGCGGAGACGACGGCGATGACGAATTATCTTAAAAGGCGGTGACATCCGAGATGACAAATTTGCTGCACTTGCTTTGAAATAAGGTCGAGTGCAGCGGTGTGGAAGATCGACTGATGCGATGCGTTAAGCAGCTCGAAGATGCCTTCATAGGCTCGTCTACAACCTCAAAGCAGACGAGCGTTTGGCAGTTTTTTTTTTCTGCTAAATAAAATGGCACTGCGGCAAAACCCAGCCGGTTTAAGTCTCTTGTATGTTATTTTTTCTCTTTTAAACCTGCACGAAAAGAAAGATGAGAAACTACTACTAAAGAGCTGGTAAGTAGAAGCAATTTTTCTAAAAAGCGCTTATTTTTTCTAGGTGCTAGCGCAACTTTTCCTATGTTGAAAATCCGTTTATATTGAAATTTTTCCTGGTTTGTTTTTATGACTTCGAGTTAACGAGGTATTACTGCATTTACCCGATCTTGATTGATAGCTTGTGGAGGCTAAAAGTGGGGGCGGGGGGTTGTCTTGATGCAGTTTCGTACCTGATCATCAAGCCTCTGGCCGATTATTCGTGTAACTGCCGAGAGACCTACTCCAAGTTTTGGAAAAAGACGAATAGGAGTCTGGATGTGGGGCACAGAGGTGCGGGCAACGCACGGCGAACGGACAAGTAAGTTGGTTGGCTAGCAAATGTGGCATGGGAGTGTCTGTTGGTGCTGGTTCTAAGGCGGTGGGGGTAGATCAACTTTTCTAGCTGCCCCACTTCACACAGACATTAGAGAAAAAGCCCACATAATAGAATGTACGTAGCTAAAAAAAAAATCCTATATTAACATTCCAACATGGTGTGCTGTGAAGCTATATCAGCCTGTTGTGTATTCATTACGAATGGACCAACCAGCAGTGAGTACAGTATGCAATTCAAGTACTGTAGTCTCACATTAAACGAAACTCTCTTAAATGAAATTGCTCTTTAAATGAAACAACTGCCACTAATAAGCTTGGTTTCTTACTTGAATATTGTTCCCCTGTTTATCTCTCACTAAACAAAACTTCTCTTAAAGGAAACGCATTTTCGTGATTCCTTCAGGTTTCATATAAAAGGAGTCTACTGTAGTGAACATTTTCAACTGATAAGCTCCAGAGAATTAATGTTTTGTGTTTCAAAGTGTGTTTTAATGTGTTGTACACCTTCTGTGGCAACTCGGCAAATGCGGAACTGCAAGTTCACGGGTTCAATTTGTGGCCATCACAGCCACAGTACTCTGACTAGGAAGGGGTGAGGGCACTATGAAGCTGCCATCTCTTAATAAGATCAGGTACTTTGTGACGCCAAACATGCAAGAAAGAGTGTTTCACACTTGCTGTGAAGGCAACACCTGGCGCTGACTGAAGCCCCATATTTTAATTGCGCACACATACCCTATAAAGTGGGCTGAGAGATGATCGTCACCGTAGCTAACTGGTAGAGCATCGGACGTGCTATTCGAAAGTCGCAGGTTTGGATCCTGCTGGTGGCTAGTTGTCTTGTCCTCTGCTTTTCTTTCTTCACATTTACATTATAAATATAGTCGGCAGCTATTTATTCGGATTGAATGGGCATTACCGAAAAGTCTGAATAATTGGGAATCTGAAAAAAATGTATTGACCCGAGAAAAACCATCTTTATTGGCCCATTGGCCGGAAAAATTGCTATGTGTGCATGCACACACTCACACTTATGCGCGACCTAGTCATCCTCTATCTCGGCGAGTGTCTGGCTGTCGCTGAAGCCAAACAACTGCAAAGATACGGCCTGCGCGAAGTCCACATTTGATAGCTGTGGTGCAGGCGGTGCATCATCGTCGGAGTTGCTGTCCGCCTGGGGTGGATCGCAGATCTGAGGAACGATCTCGTCATCGTCGATACGAGCAACCAAATAGCAAGGTGCTATTGTTTGTTGACAACTGCTTTGCCCACGGACATATAAATAGTCTTAAAGCAATCACAATAGAGTTCTTGCCGCATGGCAGGAACTGTGCGCTAGGTAAGATGGCACTGTCGTAGTTGGTGAACTCTTCAAACGTTCCCGCCCCCACATCGAGCCCACTAGTACAGAGGTCATCGAAAATGTCAACCGCTTCAAGAGGCAGACTCTCAATCACGGGGTCCTAGTCTGTGGCATTGTCCTCCTCAATCTCAGTGTTAAAACCTGCGTGGTGGAAGCAGTTGCGTATAGTTTTCTTAGTAGTTGCCTTCCAGACATAGGCCAAGATGCTCATGTCCAAGAGCACATCGATCACGTAGTTCTCGTCACTATCGATGCATAAGAGCACACGATTTAGGAGGCGCCATCGATAATGCACTTTTAAGTTCACGATCACGCCCTCGTCCATGGTCTGCAACACGCTTGTCGTGCTTGGCGGCAAGAACTCTATTGTGATTGCTTTGATTGTTTATATGTTCTTGGGCACAGCAGTTGTTAACAAACATCCCCATCTTGCTATTTTGCTGCTTGTATCACTGGTTGAGCTTGCGCATGTTCTGTTCAAAGAGATTTTGAGTAATCCATGCCTCGGAGTTCACTTCCTACCACACAGGAAGTGAAGACGCCCTTGAAATACCTGGGGTGCTTCGATTTCCCTATGACAAGAAGCGGAAGTTTGTCCATACCCGTCATGTTGCCTACCACAACTACAGTCAGCCATTCCTTGCTTTGCTTTCCCCCATGACGTGGTTCGCCGGACAAGGCTAGCATCTTGTCAGGCAGCATCTTGTAGAAAAGGCCAGTCTCGTCACAATTGAAGATAATTTCTGGTGGTTACTGGTGCAGCAGAGTATAAAGCTTGTCGGCGCGATAGTTGGTCATGAGCTTTTGGTCAGCCGAACCACTCTAGCCGCACATTTGCTTGAAGGCCAGGTCGTACCTCTTCTAGAAGTAGTGAAACCAGCCATCGTCGAACTTGTCACTAGGAATACCCAGGCGCAGGACGAGCATCCCTGCTTACTGTCTCAGCAGATCGCCAGACGCTGGTATTTTTTTAGCCACTGTAGCACTTAACCACATGCTCAACGCTTCAGGCTTTGGGTGGCTGCCGTCCCAGAAGTTTATCTGCGTTCCTGCAGACGCTTGTTCAGCTGCCTCCAAAATCTTGTCCTTGTGCTTGAGGTAATCTGATATGATTTGCTTGTGAATGCGAAATTCCCAAGCAACTTCAGACTGAAGTCGGCCGCCTTCGACCTTGCGAATAACCTCTGCTTTCTTCACCATCGTGACAGTCTTCTAGCTGACGTGTTGACTGTGTTTATTTTTGTAGTCCCGATGGCACAGAAACGAGTGGTGTCAAAGCTATTGCAGCGGCTTGCAAGAGAGCGAGACACTTAGCGCGCGAGGCTTATCGGGCGTAACCGCAGAAGCAACTGACAATGCCTGTGCCAACATGCTAGCAAAAAAGCCACATTGAGTCACAAGTCCATTCCCCACTTGGCTTGGTTTGGCTGCAGTAGGCATTCAATGATCGCGTTACTGGCTGATGCTAAAAGAACGTGTCACCAAACATAGCCTTCGAGATTGGCAATTCTGCATGTATTTTGCCACTGGCTTTATGTTCATTCATAGCTAGTTCAACATTTTGAGGCTGGCAACCTAGCAAATGTATTGTAAACAATGTATTGTAAACATCACTGAGAGCATGTCACGGCCTACGCGCTGCAACCGATCAGCTAGTCCGAGTCAGAAAAATTGAATGCTACGCTGTGGGTCGTCCGAATTTTCGGTCGTGAGTTTACATTAGGTTCAATGGGGCGAATGGCGGGGCTGTGATAGTGTTTGAATAAACGAGCATGTCTGAATTTTCAGCGTCCAAGTCAACAGTCGGCGATTGTACTTCTAATATCCACTATACATTACCTGGCATTATTGTATGTTCTCATTAAGGAGGGACAAGGGTCTTGAAAAAACGGTTTTCATGTATTATCCTACTGTCACGAAAATTATCATGCATGCATACCACTGAATGGAGATTTCAAATCTGCAAACAGATTTGAAATATCTCATTACAAAAAGTGATGACAAATTTTCAGATTATAATTAAGTAATTCCTTATGGGTCATTATAGTAACTTACAATAAAAAAGTTTTCAAAACTACGTGTTTCCTCTAAAATGTTCATCCCACAAGCTAAAGCAGATTAGATGTCAAAATGGCTATTTTTATGATGAGCTTCCAGTAATTAGCTGGTATTTGTCATGTAATTACAATTCTATCAAGTTTGAGGGAAAAAGAAAAGCTTTAGCCTGTAGTTCAAGTGTTGCAGAAAAGAATGATACTAAGTTTGTGTAGGTGTCTTCACAGAAACTTGCTCCAAACTTCCATAAGGCAGATTCACTTCACAAAAATAACAATGCCAAGAAAATTAAGTTTCCCATTTTAAAAATGTTTGTAATTTAATATATTAAGCTTTTAACAATAAGGAATGGTATTTTGCCATAATATAAAATTTTTCCAAAGCATACTCTCGAATATAGTCACCTCAAATTTCAATTTTCGAACGTCAGCATTTTTTACAATTTCGTGTTATTTTAAGACCCTCGTCCTCGATTAATATGGTATCTAAAAAAGAATACGGGCCCTTAAATGTAGACTTCCCTTCATTCATAGCGAGGGTCTTTTTCTGGCAGACTTGATGCCTTCAGGTGGTATGCGAGGGATTATTGGTAAGCTGCCAGCTCGTGATAAGATCGTGTGCTATGTTATGCCAAACAGGCAAAAAAGAGTTCCGTACTCGCTGTAAGGGCAACAGGTGGCACTGACTGAAGCTCTCGCACACACCCTATAAAGTAGATGGGTGTATGAATGCAGCCGTAGCCCAGTGGTAGAGCAACGGACGCGTTGTTCGAAAGCCTCAGGTTCGGATCCTGCCAGTGGCAAGTGATCTTTTCATCCACTTTTCTTTTTTCGCATTACAATTGCTTCTAATAACATTCCCTTCCCTGACATTATAGTCTGTTCTCATTTATACAATGTTGAAACTTGAAAGACATTTTGCACACAACATTTTAGTGTGCCACAGCTTTAATAAATGATGCAGCCTTTTAATTGAATAGAATGGCTGTCATATGCTATCAAGAGATGGTTTTTGGTGCCATGGCTATCACAGGGCCATACGAAGAAAAGTTGCAACATGACTGATAAGTCGCAGTTTGAAGGGCTTCTATGTTGTAGAGGTTGTCTGTAATTTCTCAAAAGCTTTTATATGTAGTTCAGAAAAATACTATTGTCACCTTTGGCGGTGCAGATGGTCAGTTATGGCAGCCTTGTGCCCACATTATTTTTCTATAATACGCAAGTAGTACTACCTTGAAAAAACCAAACAAAAAAAATAAAGAATACCAAGTGTAGAGTCGAGCCCACATCTAACTGCCCCACTTAAAATGAACTTTTGCTTAAAACGAACGATACCTGCGTGACTGTACAAATACGTTTACATTATTACAATGGCACAAAATCGCAGTTACAATGAAGGTCTCGGAGTGTTGCCGATCGGTTACAGCAAACGAAGTCAGTGCTTCAGTGACTTCCCAGGAAAAACCACTTTCAATTACGGATAAGCCACACGCGAGGTGCCCATAGATTCTTATTTTTAACCGCTGACCTTGCCTCCACAGCCCTCTAGTTGTCGCTCTCGCTGAT